TTCCTGCTTTCTGACTGCGTGGCTTTGGGCAAGTCACTTAACATCTCTGAGTCAGTTTCTTCATCTGGAAAAGAGGGTTAATCACGGTATCCCTTCCTCTCAGGACATAGGAGGCTTTGGTTACAATAGAACTGGTGCACTGCCTGGGCGATACCCTGCCCTGTGGGTTGTTACTGTTCCCGCGGTGTTCACAGCAACTCCGTCCTTGCTGACAGTGGGAAGCTGCAGACCCTTCCAGCAGGCTTTTTTGTTTGTTTCTTTTTTGCCTTGGGGGCTTGTGTTTGCCAGAGACAGAAAGAGGGAGAGTGAGCAATCCCTGCCTCCCCCCAGGGAGAATGGTCACACTGCAATGCCATCTCTTCCAATCTCTTCTCAGGATTTGGGCATATGCGCATGTACAAACACCTGGCATGTTTTGCAAACTGCAAACTGCAGGGTCTGGGACTCAAACTGTGGAGCAGGCCATGTGGGATCCAGTGCCTTAACCACCACGCCACCTACTGGCCCTGAGCAGTTTCTGAACCATTGGACTGTTACGATCTGGAGCCTGATCATTTTTTTAAAAAATATTTTTTATTTCCATTTGTTCATAATAGGGCACACGAGAGAGAGAGGAGGGAGAGAGAGAGAGGCCTTCTTCACAAGGTCTGGTCATGCTATGACCCTCTCTTCCTCCAGTCCTCCAGCACGTCAGATCCTGGTCACTTGTGCATGTGCCCACGGTGTTCCAGGCTGACCAGGCTGGGGATTCAAACCATGGCCACCATGAGAGATCCAGCTACTTTCTCTCTCTCTGTCCTCCCCACCCCCCCATAGGGACTATGCGCTCACTGGAGAGATACAAAGAGAGAGAGTGAGAAGGTGAGAACTCATCCCCCAGGGGGAATGGCCACACCACAATCCCTTCTCCTCCATTCTTTTCTTTGGATTTTGGACACACACACACCATGATTTTCAAGTTGCCAGGTCTGGGACTCAAACCACAGTTGGCCTGTGGGAGTCCAGCGCCTTAGCCACCACATTGTCTGCTGGCCCCCAGCTTCTCTTGAGCAGCTATCCCTGCTGTGTCACAAAGGAGCCTGCTAACTGTCTATTGTGGGGCTGGTCGGTGCCCCCAGGGTGTTTAGCAGGACCTAGGCTTCCATTCATTATGTGCCAGTGGTAGCACCGCCCCCCAACACGTCACCACATTTTGTCAAATGTCCCCTAAGGGGCAAAATCACCCTGGCCATAGACCCACTGCCTTAGGGAAAGTGAGATGCCCCCCCCGGGGGGGGGGCATCCTCAGCACCTCATTTCCTCGGCCCCATGAACCCTCCATCAGCTTGTCTCGTCATCCCTGCTGGTCCAGAGCCTGTTCATTTTAACCTGTCACTTTTTGTGTCCAAAGATGGCTTTCCTGACTCATTCTCTCTGGGTAAGGTGGGACCTTTGGGGGTGCCAGGTGACCTGCTCACCTCTGGGCTGTTGTCACGTGTCTCCTCCCTCCTCCCCATAGGACCTGCAGATAATCAAGATCCTGGTGACGAAGCTGCCTTAGGCATCCCGGAGAGCCTCAGCCTTCGTACTTAGGTTGCAGTTATTAATATTATGACTTAATTTCCTGTTGTATTTTTCCATTTCAGCTGCAGCTGCTTCCCCCCCCCCGGCCCCCGCCCCC